GTAAGCCTAAACGCATACCGACTACCGAGCGCCAGTATCAGTATCACCACCACCGCATGTACACGACCTCGACACGACCTATCTCTTTTTGCGACGCAGAAGAGTCAATGGACATACACGTGGTTCAATTGATGGTGGATTTTTTCGTGGGTTTTGTAACTTTCCAGTCGCGGTTTCGCAGGTGAGTCCAACACGTCCCGCTATTTGGCCCGGAAAGCTTGCGCGCGAGCTTTGAGGTTGGCCAGAAGCGTGATAATACATCCACTCCGAACTACTAGGGCTTTTTGAACTTTGCTTACACATCTGCACTGGTATCTCATCATCAGCGGGAAAATTGTGCACTTTCAATCAAAGGTACATCGCGATAGCCGGCTGATTGAACTCCATGGACAAAGTTTTGAGGTTTGCGCAAGTTTTTTTTTTTTTTTTTTTTTCATGCGAGTACGTCACAGTCAACTCGAAATTGGATTAAAGTGCGTATAGTGTACTCGCTACGAGTCTTACGTAACGAGATACGTTTCAAGGTAATTTGGGGGGATGAAGTTTAATTTTGGAAGTTTTAACGTAGCCCGCAACTTCACCGCCTTCGGGAGTTTCCTTCGAATACCTTATAATTTATGTAGATCGTGCGTGTGCGCAGGCTCCCGGTTGATTGATTGTCGCAAAGCGTCTTTGCTTTCGATCGCAAAATAAATGAGCGTACTTTTTCTTGACTTATTGTATACGTGGGGCATGATTTATGACAATTTTTAATTACGAATTTGGAAATTACTATCGAATAAAGGAGTATTGCATCTTTATGCAAATTTTTCTTTGAAATCCAAGTGTTGGGGGATAAAATGCAAGCTGAGTGTTTTTTTTTTTTTTTTTTTTTTTTGTGTGATGCTGTAATAATCCCGGGAAGAATAAATGGAAAATCCATTTCCTCAAGGAAGAGAGAGAGAGAGTAAATTACGTGAATCACAGCGCTCGTAGGTTCGTTTTTTTTCTTCTTCTTCTTTCTGCCGTCTACCCTTTTGAATGAAGAAATTACACCAGTGTACGTATACTTTTCATAGTGGCTTTGCAGCTGGGTTAAAAAGGAATATTACGGCGGCAAGTTGTACAGAAAAAATTTTATTGGAATTGTCGATGAAAAAGTTGTCGACAACAATCAACATTTTGTGAAAATTTTGGTTTGCATCGTTTCGATAAAACTAAATTCATCGGAAAAAAAAAAAGAAAAAAAAAGAGAATTTAATTTTTAAACTTATCGGACAAGTTTCTCCCCTCACTTTCTTTGAAACTCTCGACAGTATAGGTACCTTTAAAACTTACCACTTTCGTTTTACTCTTTTGATCGCTCGAACTTTACTCTCCCACCGCTAGTTAATATACGAATTTAATAAAAGATTTTTTCGTTTTTTGCAAATGAATTGCCCTTTGCGACCCCGAGGACAAAAGCCTGCTCTCCTTATTATTTTTGCCCATTGGAAATTCATGAAAAATACAAAGGTTCACCTAATAATTTTGCAACTAACATCTATAGCACCAAAGAAACTTGGGTGGAGAAAAAAAAAAAAAAAAAAATCCGTACCGATAGATTTATATGCCACCCAAGGGAGCACCCAAATCCATACCAATGTGCAGGTAATACATCCAAACAAGGCATCTCTAAACTATGATACCGCGATTTACATTGTGAAAAAAGAGGAGAAAAAGAAATTTCGGGCGATTGGATAGGAACGCAATTCCAACGTATACGTATGGGGTACTTGCTCTCCCTGTCTGAGGTGCTGGCAGTGGTGTAACGCCCGAGCGGCTCCTGCAACTATATGTTTGACGAACAAACAGATGCGCCGCTGTTGCCGTCGCGCTCGATCGGCTGATGCTGCAACGGCTACTGCGTCGTCCACCTACAATGTGTATACATGTACAGGTGCCACAGGAAGGAAGACGAGTCCTGGAATCGAGAGAAAAGCGCAATCAACCGGGGCACTGTAAACCACTGTGCAGTTCCCGAGTCGAGAGTTATTGCGATCGCTGGAGGAACGGTCGGGGGGGTTTATATTTTTAGTTGGGCGTAAAAACGGAGATCGTGAAATGCAAGGTGGAACCAATGATGGATACTTTTTTATGCAAGTGATTTAATTTGGAGGCTCGACTGGTGGAATCATGTTTTTTTTTTTTTTTTTTTTTTTTTCGCATCAATTTTTGTGGGTGTCACTATGGGTCAGCGATCGAATTTGCGGTGTATTTCCGTGTTTTTTGTTACCCGGCAGTTGAGATAACTGACGTTGATAAATTTGACACGAAGAGGACTGACGACGGTGGCATGAGGGGTCAAAAAGTGGAATACAGGCTTTATTTTGCGACGAATTCGACACGACGCTTATTTTGGCCGTTTTCTGTTTTTCAGATCCTCAATTGTCCCCGATCTTGATTATATTTTTGCTTACCAAGTTTTTCGCTAAAATAATACTTACATTTCGATAACCTACAAGAGGAACACTTTTTTGTACACTTCACACCAAATGTATGTGAAAAAAAAAAAAAAAAAAAAAAAGGCAGGTAGGCGTTGACTTGTATCAAATTAAAAAAAGGAAGAACCAACGACAAACAGCATTACCGCAATATATTTGTCCAGCAAAAGGCCACGGCAGAAGAGGAGCCGAGCTTGCAAGCTCAAAACTATGTAACAAAGCCGAGCTCGCCGAGCAAAGGGAGGAAATTTTCCCCTGGCGAGGAAAAGGAGGAAGGACAAAAAAGCAGGTGGACGGCCCATGGAAGTCGGAACAATTGGAAAGCGCGCTATAAATAAGGCAAGAGTCGGCGGCGCGCTCGCTGCTGCAGCTCTATACGTGTGGTGTACAGTGAATGCACCGATCGATGCAGGCCTTTCCGAGCTGATGTGCAAACGCAACGGGTGCACACAAAAGAGAGAAAGACTCGTAGAGCACACTTTATACCTGGACTTGGGTATATTACCTATATGTATACGTGTCATGGATAGCGGTGGTTACTCACACACTCTGTGAATGCACTCGACGTATACATAATATGCACGTAGGTAAGCCTAAACGCATACCGACTACCGAGCGCCAGTATCAGTATCACCACCACCGCATGTACACGACCTCGACACGACCTATCTCTTTTTGCGACGCAGAAGAGTCAATGGACATACACGTGGTTCAATTGATGGTGGATTTTTTCGTGGGTTTTGTAACTTTCCAGTCGCGGTTTCGCAGGTGAGTCCAACACGTCCCGCTATTTGGCCCGGAAAGCTTGCGCGCGAGCTTTGAGGTTGGCCAGAAGCGTGATAATACATCCACTCCGAACTACTAGGGCTTTTTGAACTTTGCTTACACATCTGCACTGGTATCTCATCATCAGCGGGAAAATTGTGCACTTTCAATCAAAGGTACATCGCGATAGCCGGCTGATTGAACTCCATGGACAAAGTTTTGAGGTTTGCGCAAGTTTTTTTTTTTTTTTTTTTTCATGCGAGTACGTCACAGTCAACTCGAAATTGGATTAAAGTGCGTATAGTGTACTCGCTACGAGTCTTACGTAACGAGATACGTTTCAAGGTAATTTGGGGGGATGAAGTTTAATTTTGGAAGTTTTAACGTAGCCCGCAACTTCACCGCCTTCGGGAGTTTCCTTCGAATACCTTATAATTTATGTAGATCGTGCGTGTGCGCAGGCTCCCGGTTGATTGATTGTCGCAAAGCGTCTTTGCTTTCGATCGCAAAATAAATGAGCGTACTTTTTCTTGACTTATTGTATACGTGGGGCATGATTTATGACAATTTTTAATTACGAATTTGGAAATTACTATCGAATAAAGGAGTATTGCATCTTTATGCAAATTTTTCTTTGAAATCCAAGTGTTGGGGGATAAAATGATTTAATTTTTTTTTTTTTTTTTTTTTTTTTGCGCGTTTGGAAACAGCTGGCAACATGCTTTGTCGTAAACTTGACTTAACTTTTTTTTTCCAATAACTTTTTATGAAGAAATGTTTTGAATAATGTGGTACATCATTGTTTTTTTTTTTTTTTTTTTTTTTTTTCTCTCTCTCTAGTAACACAACCAAAACAAAGTAAAAATATTTTTACAACAAATCGTTTTGTGAAGCATATAAACTATTTCCTGTAAGACCAAACGATTTTAATAATTTAAAATATGTGATATTTCGATACATTGCCAAAAAGTATAATAACTTCCCCACACTGCATCTTGAGAGGCCTTTCGTGACTTATCCGATTTACAAACTCAGAACGTGAGTCATTACACCTACTTTGGTAACAGTATTAATGCTATCTCTATGTGAACGAGAGATACTCTTTGAAATTAATTCCGGTAATTGTATTCATTTTTTGTTTGTTTTACCTCATTGAGCAAATAGTTACTTTATTTACAAGAAGTTACTTTTCGAAGAATTTTTCATTAAAAATTATGTAGTGGTGTTTAAAGTCTAGTTTAGAAAAGATCAGTTGTCATCATTTCAAAAAGTAAAAAATACTAAATCAGCAGTTCGAAACAGCAAGTAATCTGACAACAACACTGCAATCACACAATTTGTTTTGTATATGTGAACAAGACTTTATATGTTTTTGTTGCATAGTTTTGATATTTAATAATGAACCATTTTAGATTTCACCACTGATTCAAAAAGTTTACGTAAAACTTAGTATTAGAGAATTTTATTTAACAACTTTTATCAGTGGTATCAACAATTTGTTGACATTTTATAATACAATTTTAATTGTTTTTCGATGAAAAATTCTTTAAGTTTAAAATAAAACTTCACCGTTAATTAAAATAACTTTCAATAAGCAAATTAATTTAATTAATAAGCACAGCGATAAATTAGCAATTAAATTCCGTAGTTTATTTAAATATAAATTAATAAAGGCATGTTATTTTTGTTCCTAAACTAAAAAAATTAAAGAAAAAAAACTGCGTAATATTTGTTTTTGTAATATATGCATAC